GCAATTTATTAATTCACAAATGATCTTACCGAGCATTAATAACTTCAACAAACAATCGATGAAATCAATATGTAGTATATCCAAGTTATCCCCCTTTTTCTGATGAAATCGTTTAAATACTCAAATGCACAGCAGGTTTTTCTTTGGTCAGCATTTTTTCTCGTTTCAGAGTTCAAAGCAAACATAATTTTGACGGGCTGCTCACGTTGTGCCGGGGATTTGCATGACACGCAACACCAAAATCTGACAATAGCGAAACGCGAAATTTCAATGGCTGAAAAAGACGGTCCCCAGTCGGATCGCCGCTGTTGTTATTGGATTGGGTCTGGATGTTCGATTTTGCGCCGTTGGCTTTGAATTCACGGGGCTTTGGGCGGGAAATAAAACGCACGAATGCGCCGCCAACGTGGCCTATGCGAACCGAGCCGGTGCAGCGTGCAAAACAAAAATGACAATGGCAGGCAACAAATTTTTGCAATTCCCAACAGCACTTCAACTTCCGGCTGCCATTTTTTCCGGCCACGCCCGTCCGCCCGTACCCCTTTTTTCCGACGCCGCCCACAAGTTGACAAAAGTTTTGCAGCAGCCATTGAAAATGTGACTCCATTTGAGATTTGCGCGACAAGAACAACAAATGCAGTGAAGTGAATGCTTGAAATGATCAACTTTTGATACCCAAAAGGGTATTTATTTATCAATTTACCTCTTTGAAAAGTATTGAATATTAAATCTTATTCACTCGAGAAAAGTATACTTTATTAGAAAATTACGAATGTATTTTAAATAGCTTAACTTCTGTTATTTTTGAAGATTAGAGAAAGAAAGGAATTGTAATTTTCCCAAATTATTCAAGTTCATATTAAGTTCATATACCTCTCTGTAAAAATTAGACACCTCTCAATGTGGCACATACAAAACCCTGAAATTTATTTTATGTTTGCAACATTTTAGATCCGGCAGAGTAATGGCCGCTGCACTTTTAAAGCACCCAAAAAATCGTTAGATACTACCTCCAGCACTCACATCCACATCCGCATCCGTATCTCCATGTAGTGCCGCAATCAACTTGCAATCGAATGCAATCTGATGTGCTGATGTGTGGAGTGCTGTGGGTGGGAGACGAACTGCATCTGCGATGGCATTGAGTGACTTGTTCCCTCGAAGTTCTCTCTCCACCCCCACTGTCGACCCTTTGAATGACATCCGTATTGCATTTGCATTTCGCAGAGCTCTCAATCAAATGTCTGGAACAAAGTGCTGTGCTGTTGGGAAAAGTTGTTCGGCACTCCCAAGTACTAGACGGCGTTCTGGGATCTGAAAGCTAGGAACTAGGTGCTTCAGCACTCCTCCATGTATGGTAGAACCGAAGAGCCTTCGATGGACGCAAATTGGGGCCAGGGAAATAAACCTTGGTCATCAATCAAATCTCGATAAGGAGCAAATTCAATTTTGACAAATCACAAATAGGCTTTTGTAAACTGAAATTAATGGCACTGGCTGGCGCATACTTGACGTAATTAAACACACAGTTGCACAAATGTGTGCAGTTACATTTGTGCAGGACGACAATGAGCACTTGTATTTAAACAAGGCTAAGACTTAATTACGTTGGATGTCATTTGCTTAGGGCCGATCTAATATGCTTCAGAGACAAAGAGAGAGGGAGTTTACAAGGGACTTTGATATTCAATCCAATCATTAAGGTTATTTATTGAAGATGAATTGAATTTTAGATATTGAATATATTTATTAAAATTAATATATATTATATTTATAAGAAGGATTTTATGCCAGATCACAGCAACACAGTTTCCTGATAGTTATTGCCTGTTTTTAAATTACATTCTTTCAAATTAAATTTATTTTAAACAAGAGTTAAGCCAAGAACCTTGATACTAAATCATAAAAACCTCTAAAATTCTATATAAACCAAAGAAAGTCGTTGAAACCGAATTGGTAATTTGTGCTCTCGTGCTAGTGAGCAATTCTGTGTATGTGTCCAAAATCAAATAAATATTACATTACGGCGAAAGCACAGAGAGCAGAGAAGGCATTGCGGCTTAATGTTAGGTTTCGTGGCCATAAAATATATATATACAATCGTAAATGCAAGTGCAATATTTGCATGCTGCGTAAATATTTACAAAAATGTTCTTTTGATTTATTTGAGTGGAACTAATTGTGGGCGTTGAACTGCAAAAAAAAACCGAAATAAATCATAAATTTGCCAGAGACCAAAACGATAAAGATTTGCGATAAAAAACAGTTGAGGGTTATATATTGTGTTTACATTTGCATTGTCATATACTGAACTTTAGCTTTTGTGCAACTGACGATGAGTGGAAATTATTTAATTAAACAATCATCAGATAAATTGAAACAGACAACTCGACCACCTCTCAGTGACTGACTGACTGACCAAAGAGAGAGCTTCGTGTCTATGAAAAATTAATTTGCCGTATTTATTTGCCACCAACAAAGGAAGAGCAGACATTTGCGTGTCTGGGGCCAATTTGTTGTTGGCAAAACAAAGAAAGTGGCAGAAATTTAACACTTACCAAAGTCACATGAAACTTCTGCACAGTTTTTGGAGTCGCTAGGTCGAATATCATTGGGAAAATTAGGAAAAATTACAACGGTCTCGGAGGATACCAAACCCAATTAACACATGCTATCTCGAATTTCCCACAAATTCCCGCCGCTCCAAGGCAGCAGTAGCAGCAGCAAAGAACAGAGGAAAATTGCAATTTAAAAAATAATTATGGAAATGTCTGGTGCTGGAAAACTGCTCGCAGGCAGCTTCAGAAGGCGCTAAATGTTAATGAACATTATAAAAACAATTGCGAGTAATTATAATTTGAATGATAATAGCGAAACTTCTTAATCCCCGCAACGGTAATTTTTATAACTCCCCCTTACCGCGCCATTTCCCTTTTTCCACACTCAAAAGCGACGGAGACAAAGGCGAAAAACGTGAAAAATGCATATTAAAGGATGCCAAAAGGAAAACACGCTGCCAGGAGACAACGGAACGAAGGGCTTCCATAGTAATTATAATTCTGAAACGAAATGAAACCTCAACAAAAAGCGAGGAAAGCCATCTTAACTCAGGGGGAAAAGCGAAAAAAATCCGCAGGAATAGCAAAGCAATGAAAATAATATGCACAGGAACGTCGACAGCTTATGAACAAAAGAGTTCTGAATGAAGTGCAACAGAATGGATTGAAATGTGATAAAGATAAGAAGAAAGAAGCTAACTTTGATTATTTTAATTATAGCATTTATAGAAGTCCCAATAAAAATTACGTATACGCAATGGGTAAATAGCATGAGATCAAAATTCCTTCATTTTAAGTCGTGGTATTATAATGAAATTATAATACAAATTAAAGTCTGTTTTGAAATATTATAACTGTAAGAAATTAATATTCGTCCATGCAATAAGGAATTAATTGTTAATAAGTTGTAAATAATTGTAAAATAAATACTCAGCTAGCACAACTGATTAAGATCTAGGCCTGATTACTCCTATAGCATCTACATATATAAATGATATAATTATTTTCGTTGGTACTTACCGCATTATTTGTTATCGTCATTGTTTACTTCCTTCAGTCTAGTTATTACTTGCTGACTCATCGAATGATCTCCTGTTTATCCGAATATATTGCCATGATCAGGTGATATTTTTGATGTTGATGGGTATTCACTATCACTCACACCTTCACATTCGATGTAACAGCACGGCGACCACGGATAGACTGAGATCAGTGCGGCAGCAGCGCCTCTATTTATAGTCCCGAGCAAAGAAGGAGCAGAGAATGTAAGAGCGAGAGCGCGAGAGTGAAAGAGTTAACTCCAGAGAAAGGCAGAGAGAGGTGGGAGAAAGAAGCAGCTGCCAAACTGAGAGTGTAGTTTCCATAGAAGCGGACAGACGAGCGGGGAGATAGACGCGGCTGCTAGATCGACTCGATCTGATGCTGATCATGAATATATATGTATATTCTTTATAATTTATTTATTTTATTTTTTCTAGCTTCTCCAGGTTTACTCTTAAACTCTGTCAAGGCATCACATGAAAATTAATTCTAATTTGCAGCTCCACCCGGGAATGACCGCCCACCCACAACCGGACGTGGAGCTCATCAGGAATCCTTCGACGCCAGAGACGCTGCTGCCCACTTTGCAGCTAATTATTCAGATGGAATAACTCGGGCGAAGGGAAAAAATCGAGGCCAGCGAAAAATCAAACAACGAAATTGCCACTTGCAATTTCTCGTCACGTTCGAAACTTAATTAGTACATCAGACCATCAGCGCCGCCGAGATGCGGCTGGGAGCTGGTGAAAAGCTAAAAGTATAGTCCTGCGGAGGCCGTGGCTGTCATAAGGACGTCATGTTTCTTAATTAGTTCTTTGTTATATAACTTTGGCGAAACGTTGGACTTCCAGACACAAGCTTCATTAGCACAACCATTCAAAGACATCGGTAAACTTAGATTTTCCAAGAGTTTAGTATTTAAAAGCCCCTTATTACATAAATATTTTATTTAAGCAAGAAATTAAACTCTTAAGTTAAATCATTTTATTAAATATTCTTTATATAGAGTTTATGAACAACAAATGTTTTTTAGCAATCAAAATTGCTTGTAAATTGTACTTTAGCAATCTGTGAAAAGTTATTTCTGGCATGAAATTTATATCTTGAGATTTATAAGATTTATAACTTTCCTTGACTCTTTATATCTCAAGACCATTTATTCCAAGTGTATTATCCTTCCGCCGGCTGGAGTAACCTACATAAACGATGATTTCCCAACAACCCAACGCCGTTCACCTTGAGTCCGCCCCCCATCTTGGATCAGTTACGAAGCGGATTGTCAGCGCGGGCAGGGGCTTTGGGCCAGAAAGGATGCCAAGTAGCTGGAGAAGCAGCTTGAGAAGGAGGAGGACCAGGAGTTGGCTAGGGAAAATACCGGCCCTGGGGCACACCGCTCCGGCGCTACGCTGTGCACATTTCCATAGCTTGGCATGCCGCACACGTAGAAGATTTCCGCACGAATTCGCAAAGCAACTCTTGATCCCTTTGACTCAACCGGCGACATGTTTTCTTTGCCATTCTCTTTGATGTTTACAAATTACACCGAAAGTTGGCAAACAAATTTTCTTATTCACTTTTTCCCGAGTGCACACAATGAAATGGGCAGCCAAACCAAGCCGCATGGCACTGAAACTAAACTAAACCAAAGGATTGGCCCAGGGATTCGGGTCTTGTTGGATTTTGGATTGTTGGTCTCTGGCTTGGGGTAAAACGATGAGAATGCCTGCGAATGTGCCAAGTGAAATTGCGACCAAGAGACAAAATTGTGTAAATACATTTACAATACATTCTTGAGCGCTGGCCAAATACGAAAACTTCGAAATCGATTTGGCAATTGGATTTCCCGCAGATTATAAAAGAAGAAGGTCTCCCTCCATCCAGCTGGCAGGCAGCACTTCAGGCTTCAGAAAAAGAGGGTCCTTTGACGAGCAGAGCCCGAAACTAAAACAAAAACTTTTTAAATTCCTCCAATTATATTTTTACGCTATGAAAACTCAACTTCGTATGCTGATCTGCATCTGGCCAAAGCCAGCACCCAAACACTACTCACAAACTTTCAGTGCAAATGGTTGGAGTCAGTGAGTGTATATATGGGTGTGTGAGGCACTCCATTTGCGGAAACAACAACGATAAAAACATCTTGAGGTCTAAGGATGAGCAAACTTTTTTGTTCACTCATTCATAAGTTTTTAATTAAATTGCCGTCACATTTTCCCCTTTTTTTTTCATTTTTTGTTTGGCACAGAGAGAGAGATCCTTTCTTTTAATGAAGCCGACGTTGATGTCTGATATGGTGTGGAAAAGGATTGCTAAAGGAATTTAATATTTATTCTAGTCGAGGATATTTCATACAAAAAATTTAGACATGAGGTGATGGAGAATCATATATTAATCTACATGACATAAGGTTTTGTATGAGAATGAAAACAAATGAATGAATGCTTTTATATGACAGGAAGCCACTCTGGAATTATGTTTTCATGGTTGAATGCTTAAACAAAAGCAATTAAATTTAGAACAAGAAAGAAAATATTACATATACCGTTGCAGTTGCAATTGAGTTTTAGGATCAAATTGGGGATCGATTATGACTTTATTGGAATTTATACTTTATAAATATTTAAATTTTTTTCATTTTTTTTTTTAATTTTAACGATGTTACCCCTAAAATTTCAAAAATTTTGAAAAAATTAAATTTTACCCAGACATAGCTAGATCGACTCGGCTTTTAATCTGATCAAGAATATATATGATTTATAGGGTCGGAAATGACTCCTTCCTTAATAGCTCCTGCAAGGGTATAATAATATGCAACTATAATAATGTATCATAGTTAGCACCAAAGTCAGAGTAGTTTCATAGTTCAAGTTTTCATATAATTATCAAAGTTGGTACTTACCGCAGTTGGTTTGTTATCGTCATTGTTATTCTTGTGTAGTTATATACTTGCTGACTCATTGAAGTGATCTTTCTTGTTATCCAGATGTATTGCCATAATCACATGATATCGGAATCACTATCACAACCACATTTACATTCGATGTTAAAGCTCGTGACCACGACAGACTGAGATCAGTGGGCAGCAGCGCCTTATTTATAGTCCCGAGCAAAGAGAAAGCGAGAAAGTGAGAGCGAGAGCTCAAGAGAGTAAGAGTTACTCTAGAGATATGTGAGAAGCAGTAGCTTTTAACTGAGAGTCAGCTTGCGTAGCAATGGTCGCCGGACGGACAGAAGGATATATACCCATTGCTAGATCGACTTTATGCTGATCAAGAATATATATGATTTATTTGGTCGAAAATAGTATGCTTCTGATTAAAATGATAATTTACCTTGCAAAGGTAAAATAAATATTGTTTGTGGGGAAGACAACGCTAACTAACTAACGCACGAATAGGTTGATTATATTCCGAATTTATTTTCTTGTTTTTTGTTCTCTAGTCGGAGCTGCAACAACATATCGAACGCTTGGCTTCAATACATATAATTACAATGTAGCGTAGCTTAAAAGATAAGGCGACTGAAGAAGAAGAGAGTGAGAAATAGATAAGAAAAGAGAAGAGCTAAAAGCCCAGCAGGTGTAGCCATACACCTATGCGCTCATAATTAGGCACTAGCGGTCTGCTCCGAACAAATATTTCTTTACTTTACTATTTTAGCTTAAGATTTTTTTTAAATTTATTTCCGCCCTAAAAACACATACTGAAAACTTAGTAAAATTCTTAAAACTTTAAGCCCGTGTATATTTTTTAGATTCCGTACCCCTTCTTTGATTTTATACTCCATTTCTCTTTTTAATTTCGGGGGGAATTTTCCGAATTACCCGTGAAAAACTAACCCGAAGAGCCCCTCTAGCGTCAACCCTTGTAGAATCTGGGTCCCCATCTTAATTGTTTTGTTGTTTTCGCTGCTGTCGCGGCTTCTGCCGGGAAACTTATGTTTTTGATAAGCGCTTCGTTTTGTTCAATTGAATGGAATTTTTTTCGGGACATTGGCAGGGCGGACGAAGGGTAAATAATTGCACGCGATGTTTACACGAAAGGTGAAACAAATTTCTGCAAAAAGGGGCTGCAAGGACAAGGGCAGGCCATCGCGGGCAATTAAAACAAGGGCAATTTGCAATGAACATAAACGTAAATGTTTTTGGCACCCGTTCGTGAATGAGGCGTTAATAGTATTTACACAGCTTTTAATATAACGCCCCTAAATCGCTCATAAAGTAAATATCTTAGATTAGGCTATTCAAATGTCGAGTGAGCAGCAGCAGCCAATAAACACACAAAACTAAAGTTTAAAAATATTATTGCACAATAAACTTAATGGAAAATGGTACGGATTTGTATTGTTATATTATTTCCAAATAAGAAATTATTACACTTTTAAAACGATTTTCTAATGAATTTTCTAGAGCATAAATTATTTTTTGCAAATTGCCTGGAATTGTGTAATTGAGCTGCCGCACTTTTCCAACTGCAGAAAACGCAGCAGCAGCTGACAGGCTGCGGAAAATGGAGAGGAAATGTGGTGAGACTGTTGCCCATCAAATGCATATACCAACTGAATCCAATCGTCCAATGCCATCAATCACTTGATTGACAGTCGGGGCTAAGCTAGCTGAGAGCTTCTTCCTCCTCCTTTTCCCCTAACCAACTTGTAATCGAGACCAGTTAACCAGAGCAAAGCCGAAAGAGGGCCAGAGAGAAATTAGCAACATAACCGGATTTCGAATTTTCCAAATGCAAAGTATTTTCAAATTCCAGCTAAAATGCTGAGATGCTGCTGATCCCAATGCCGATGCAGAGTCCGAAAGACCCAATGCCTACCGGCCACTGGCACTTCCGTGGCCAGGACAATGGCCGGCAGTTGGACAAAAGCGAAAAGCCAAAAGAAAAGGCCAAAGCCAACAAAGGCAGAGTGGGCAGTGAGGAGTGAGGGCCAAGGCGCACAGTCAGGGAAACATGGCAAAAACCGTATGGCCAAAATGGATAAGCTTACAATGCCACTACCAGCACCCATTCCTATTCCAAAGAAAATGGCATTTTCGCCACACTCCCTACGCTCTCCCCCCCGGCAATCCACATCCTTCCTGGCTTTCGCTTTTGTGAATAAAAAAAAGAACTTGGGGAAATGCAAAGAAAAGGACGAGGGCGAAAAAGTTTCGAGGGTAAGGGGCAAGGAGGAGCCAGCGAGGCGCATCCTCTGGGGGTGACTTAAATAAAATTTGTTGATTTTATTGAAAAGTGATGATGTGTCAAATTTTTTATCGCATTACCAGAGCGCGGCTCTTATTTTGCTTTTAACCTTGCCATTTGCATAAAATTCGCATTGAATAGACACATTAGCATTCTTAATGGCGTGACCGCTGGAAGTCATTTGGCTCGCCTCGAAGGTCCTTTGCCATCACGCCCAGAAATTTATCAATGCCGCACACGTTTGGGTTTGCCAGAGGTCCCTGGACCCCGAACTCTGTGCAAACCCAAGGATTCTAAGCCCCAATCTCCGACCCCAATCCCAAGCTGAGGCGCATTCACTGAAGTGACAAGTGAGCAATATGTCTGGATCGCTTCTTGTCGGTTTTCTATAGGGGAAATTTAGGGTCCTGAGCACTGATTTTTAAGACAAATTGAACAGCGTGTCAAATGGCTCAGTTCTAGTTCAGCGTTTTTGCTTGTTTAGCTTTCAGGGATAGTTGAATGAATTATGTGCTTAAGAAATTTATAGTTCATTGCGGGTCGTTACTATTTTCATTTTTATCTATATATTGGTTTAAGAGAAGCTTTTTTGGGTTGGAGGGGAAGTTATGATAGTTTACGTTAATTTATTATTATGTTATATTTCATTTAATCATTTAAACTGCAAATGTAACATTTTCCATAGAACACCTCTATATTACGTATACGACCTGTTGAACGATTATGTTGTTTGTATAATAATTTATAATATGATTGTATTATTCATAGTATTCATTTTTATATGTTAAATTTCATAGCTCAAAGTATACTTTCATATTTTTTATAAAATTTGTAGACGAAAATATAGGATTTTTTTTATTGTATGTATTTATTAAGTATACGACATGTGGGACAATTATAATGTTTTGATATTTGAATACTAATATTTGTATTGTTTATATTTGATATATTTTCATATTTTTCAACATTAACTATAACATTATCAGTGCAATAAACACAAAATCCCTAAATAGAACACATGACAGCACTTGGTTCTGTTTGCCGGAAAATCTGTCCCTCGTTGGTCATCTGGCCAAGGCCTAAATGAGAAGAAATGCTTTTGCATTAGAGCGCATCCTGGCCATAATAACATGACGTTTCATTAGCCAAGCGAAATGAAAAGCTATGATCGCCCAGCCAGCTGCCAGAGACAATCAAGGGAGTTATTCTGGCCAACTTCAGTTACCAATGCTGCGGGCCAAGTGTACAGACGAGGTAATCATTATAGAACTTTGTTAAATTAATCTTTTAATCTTTTAAAAAGAAGTTAATTTTAACTATGTTTTA